ACTTTCTTACACCATACACAAAAATAAACTCAAAATGGATGAAAGACCTAAACGTAAGACAGGAAACCATCAAAATCCTCGAGGAGAAAAGCAGGCAAAAACCTCTTTGATCTTCTTACTCAACCTCTTCTTACTCAATATGTCTCCAGAGGCAAGGGAAACAAAAGCAAAAATGAACTATTGGGACCTCGTCAAAATAAAAAGCTTCTGCACAGTGAAGGAAACAATCAGCAAAACTAAAAGGCAACCTACAGAATGGGAGAAGACATTTGCAAACAACATATCAGATAAAGGGTTATAGTATCCAAAATCTATAAAGAACTTATCAAACTCCACACCCAAAAAACAAATAATCTAGTGAAGAAATGGGCAAAAGACATGAATAGACACTTCTCCAAAGAAGACATCCAGATGGCCCACTGACACATGAAAAAATGCTCAACATCACTCAGCATCAGGGAAATACAAATCAAAACCACAATGAGATACCACCTCACACCTGTCAGAATGGCTAACCTTAACAACTCAGGCAACAACAGATGTTGGCGAGGATGTGGAGAAAGGGGATCTCTTTTACAGTGTTGGTGGGAATGCAAGCTGGTGCAGCCACTCTGGAAAACAGTATGGAAGTTCCTCAAAAAATTAAAAAATTAAAAATAGAACTATCCTACAATGCAGCAATTGCATAAATACTAGGTATTTATCCAAGGGATACAGGTATGCTGTTTCGAAGGGACACATGCACCCCAATGTTTATAGCAGCACTATCAACAATAGCCAAAGTATGGAAAGAGCCCAAATGTCCATCAACAGATGAGTGGATAAAGAAGATGTGGTATACATATACAATGGAGTATTACTCAGCAATCAATAAGAATGAAATTTGCCATTTGCTGCTATGTGGATGGAACTAGAGGGTATTATGCTAAGCGAAATTAGTAGGAGAAAGAAAAATATCATATGACTTCATTCATATGAGGACTTTAAGATACAAAACAGACGAACATAAGGGAAGGGAAGCAAAAATAATATAAAAACAGGGAGGGGGACAAAACATAAGAGACTTTTTTTTTTTTAACGTTTATTCATTTTTGAAAGACAGAGAGAGAGAGTGTGTGTGTGAATGCGGAAGGGGCAGAGAGAGAGGGAGACACAGAATTCGAAGCAGGCTCCAGGCTCCAAGCTGTCAGCACGGAGCCCGATGCAGGGCTCGAACTCACAGACTGCAAGATCATAACCTGAGCCGGAGTCGGCCGCCCAACCGACTGAGCCACCCAGGCACCCCAAGAAACTCTTAAATATGGAGAACAAACAGAGGGTTGCCAAAGGGGTTGTGAGATGGGGGATGGGCTAAATGGGTAAGGGGCATTAAGGAATCTACTGAAATCATTGTTGCACTATGTGATAACTAACTTGAATATAAATTAAAAAAAAACAAAAACAAGAATCCCTAGTGCCATTGTTCCATGCTCCCATTTTACCGAGGTGGACACTGAGGCCCAGAGTGGGCAAAGGCCTTGGTCAAGGTCACAGAGCAAGTCAATACCAGAGCTGCAGGAGTTCTGAAAACAAAAGTCTGACTTCAGCTCTAACTCTGTGGAGTTGGGGGACGCCCGGCGGAAACGCCCACCTGGCTGCTTGCAGAAGGAAGCGGTCTACGCGGTGGGGCGGGGCTTACTCACGCCCCGCCCCGTCGCCGGTTTCGGGGCGGGGGCTTCCTTCAACCTGCGCCGCTCCAACATGGCTCCGCGGCTGTGCAGCATCTCTGCGGCGACGCGACGGTTGATGGGACGCCCGAAGCCCCGAGCAGGGGACCTTGCGGCTGCCGCGCGGTGAGAGCCGGGGCAGGGATGGGGGAGCGCTTCGCGCGCGCGGGGAGTGCTGGGGAGGGGACCAGGGTCTTGGTCAGAGGAATGGACAGACTCCGGCTTGGAATCTATATGGGTTAGAGGCGGGAGCAAGATCTAGGCCTAGGGAAGAGCTCTCAGCAAAGAATGGGGGAAATGGTAAAGGTAGGCGCAGGGTCTTTGTCCTAATGGATACCTGGCTCTGGGCACAGGATGAAAGATGGGGTGAATGAGAGGGAGAGGGACATGCCCTGGGCCCTGGAGAGTGGGAGCCGGGCAGAGGACAGGAGTGGCTTCTTTTCTAGGCCTTTGAGATGATTGTGAAATAACACCTACTGGGGCCTTCTAGGAGAGGCAGCTCCTCCCTCGGAAGTTCTGGGGGGAAGAGATACGGATAGCAATAGGGGACCCCCAAGGGCCATGGCTACACAGACCCTTTGCTCCCCAATCCTGAACAGTACAGGTGGGGCAAAGGAGGCCTGGGAAGGGATGGGAGTTGCCCAAGGTCACTCCCTCTGGTGTCCGGAGGTGGCATTGGGTCCGGACCCAGGTCTCCTGACAGTGCTCTTTGCACCACAACTGGTGGCCTCCTGGGAGAGGCAGTTCTCTCAGCCTGGGCTTTTGTTTGGGCCCTGCTCTGGACTGAGGCAGGGCTTGGCCTCCTTGAACAGCCCTGGGCGGCCCCTCCCTCCTGCGTCTCCAGCGGCCTGTACTTTCCCCATCCCCTCATCACCCTCTATACACACTTGCTTGTCTGCCGGACTAGCCTGTCATGTCATTTTTCTGTTAATCCAGCCCCTAGCACAGGGCTCAGGACAGTGTGTGCTCAAGAACATATTGCTACAGAAGTGAAGACACCTGTCTCCCCACCTCTGTGCGGAAAAGAAGCAGGGGGCCCTCCTCTCCAGCAGCCTAGGCTTGAAGCTTCAGAGTTCTGTGAGACCTTGCCATGAGATCTTAGAGCACTGTGCACTGTGGCTCATGGGTCGTTGGGAAAGAGGAGCTGAGTGTGTTCCCCCCACCCTGTCTGCCCAATAATTGGGGAGAAAGCTGGTATCATGGAAAGAGCCTGGAGTTTAGCGCCAGCATATCTAACTCAGCCTTTCTTAGTGGGGTGAGTCGTTTGGCCTCTTGAAGTCTCAGATTCCTCATCTGCAAAAGGGGTGATAAAATAGTCTGTATCTCATAGAGCTGTTGAGGGTGAAAAAGGCCATGTATGTGAGGCTTCTAGCCCCTGGTAAACATGCAACAGATATTGCCCTTGTTCTGACAGTTTCTGCACGAACTCCTCATAATATCAGGGCTGAAAAGGCCTTGGGGAGATCATTTTCTGTGAGCTCCTTGTTTTCCAGATGAGGAAATCGAGGCTGGGATTGGGACCTCACTTCCGCAGGGTACCAGAATCGGTAGGTGGTAGAGCCATTTGTGTGGCAAATATCCAGAGACCACAAAAGGAGCGTGGGACATAAGGCAGCCTGCTGCTCCTCACTTACTCACTTGACTTGGGCACTAGAACCTCTGTGAACCTCGGTTTCCTTCTCTGTAAAGTGGTGATGATGATCTGCTGGGCGTTTTTGCAGGCTTGCTGTGAAGGCTCTTGGACTAATGCTTCCCACGTCGCTCAGGGACTGCTTTACAGTTACTTATGCCTTTTAGATACCTGGGAACATCCCCTCCTGTTGACCTTTAGGCCACCCCATATCTCTCTGGAGTCACTAGAGGGACAGGTAGCAGCCTTTCTGACCTCCGAGGTTTGGGGACTGCTGGGATGGAGATAAGAGTGTGGGCTTTAAAGTCAGATGGATGTGGGTTGGAATCCTCTCGGCCATTAACCATCCCTGAGCTTCATTTTTCTCAAATACATGTCATGCAGATTAGCACATAGTAATTGCTCAATAAACAGCAGTTGTTACTACTGCTGTACCAGTAATCCTGTTAACAGAACTTTAGTTCTCTTATTTTTATTACTGTTATTATTATGCTTTATTTAAGTAAGCTCTACACTCAATATGGGGCACTTGAACTCACTATCCCAAGATCAAGAGTCACATGCTCTACTGACTGAGCCAGCCAGGTGCTCCAGAACTTCAGTTCTTTTATTT